TTTAATACCGCTAGATGAAGGAAATCAACCACTGTGCGGCGTCTCGTACAAGAAGGGGCTGGAATGGTCAACTGCTCTGCCTCTGGCATGTCGACACGACGGACCCCACCGTGCTTGCCATGAATCGGAAGTCTGGCGGTCACGCCGCGATACAATTGCGCTGTTTTTTACGCTATTTGTTTGGCGCGCCTGTGTTACGGGAACCCGTCTTGGTTTCGCCGAAGCATCAAGTGTGTTGGGAGGTTCTGAGCTTCTCTAACACGCCACTACTATATATACCACACCCACGGATTTAAACGCGGCGCGGTGGTCGAGCGAGGTGCAACCGCGGGCCAACAAGAAAATGATTATAGTCAGATAAGGGATTGCGAATGGCCATTGGTCGAGACGTCGAAAACGACGGAAACAGCGGGTGAAAGGCGTGTCCCTTGCGGAACCCCTGCAGTTAAAACATTTCCTTGAGCGTAAGAGCCCCTTCTGTTGAAAGGGTTCACGAGAGCAGAGCTACGATATTTTGTTAGAAAATTTCGTAAGAGTAAGAGCTACCAGTTCCTCCTAAAATAGTCGTACGAGGTGGAACTAATCTCCACTAAATTCGTTTTCGGGAGATGAGGAGTTAATTTGTTTGTGAAAGTGTAAGTAATTTGCATGTAATGCACGTTTGCTTCCTTTGGGAGTAGCAAATTGAACGGTTAAGGTGTTGGTTGGAGTGAAACCAGGCGCAACCAGGCTCGGCTACCAAGGTCCATGGAGCGAAAGGTCAGAAGGCGACGCCAGCGAGCTTCATCCGCCAGTCAGACACAGAAGCGTGAGTACCCGTGCAGCCCAAGGCGGAAGCAATACGCAATCGAGTAAATAAATTTAACGATAAAGCTAGATCACAAACCAGAAACTTTAACAAAGCCTTAAGTGAGCGATTCAGTTCCCTAGAGACACAAGGCATTTGTAAAAAGAGCCATGCCCACGTTTGTAAATTTCAAGATTGCGTCTCACGTTAAATAGAAATTAATAATGAGCACACAGATGTATTTAATGTCATGTACAATTAAGTGGGTAATATTAGCCCGAAGTTATTAAGTTTAAAATTCTATAGAAGTTGTACTGGTAGGTAGCATAGAAGCATACTGTTATTGTGAAGTGAATTCAAAGCAAGTTTAAAGATAATCATTATTTATTTGGCTGTGGCGCAAGCGTCCAGTCACTTGTGGACACGTGATCTGTGTGCTTTACTGTTTCATAATCCTGAGTTACGTTATTGTGCATTTTTTGTGTGTGGAGAATATACGGCTTTCAAGTCTTAAGAAACTCAACTTTTGATCTTGTTATTTTATCGTCAACTTGCCCATGTTCCCGCAAATCCGCATTCCCAAGTGGAGTATTTGGAATTAAATCAGATTGAACAAAGTCGACAGGGCTGAGAGCGAATTGGCGGCAAGCCCACGCACATGTGCGCTGACTTCGATGGGAAGTGGTGTCAAATACCCGGCGGGCCGCGACAATTTTGATGGAGTCGTATATATACATATTGGCCTTGTGCATGTATGATATAGAAACGACTGTAATAATAATAATAATAATAATAATAATAATAATAATAATAATTTAATTGTTGAAAACTGCTTTAAAGGGAGATCCCCGAAGTATTACAGTAATGTAATTCAACTAACTTCAAGCTAATTCTTAAACTAATGCGGGTGACGGCAGCGCTGCTGCGATGGCTCCGTTACGCCCGCGCGGTCGGTCGTCAGGTCGGTGGGGCTGGCTGCCTCGGCGCTGGCCAAAACCTCAAAAATGAAATCTTGTTTACTAAACGTTTGCAATACTACGCCACACTGTACGGTTGAAGGCATTTGAATCTGCCCACTTCGTGCCTCCGGTCAATTCTCCTGGCGTCACTAGTCACAGGAACGTAACCTTCGCGGGGTTTGGTAGATCTGCAGTTCCAGAGTGCCACATAGAAACCGTCTCTTTGTAAGTGGTGTCCATACAAAGTTGTGCAGAGATACGCTTTCAGAAGATTTGTAGAGTATTTTCGAATGTTTTATAACGCATTAATGCTTAATACCGACGGTATTATTAATACGCGTAAAATTAATAGAATAATTTAAATAGTTTGTAAGTTCACGTAGACTGAAAGTTGCCAAGTTCGCGGAATTCAGCGATTTTTCTGATTTCACTTACTAGCTGAAACTATACGCTTTCGATTCTAGTAATAAAATCTTGCCCCAACTTGCCCCTTTAGTAAATATAAAGAATAAACATTTCGTCGAGCGCACGTGACCGCCGAATATTACTCGACGAGATACGTCATGAGAACGGTAACTGCATTTGCAACGCAGTTCCCAGGGAAAACCTTTTGTTTTTTACTCAAATAACTAATTTACTCAATACTACAAACAATAAAAAATAATATTTTTAGTACTATTTTAGTAATCTTTTTGACTATTTACCAGTATTATCAAAACATAATATTCACGTACATATCACATCTTCTGAACTGGATTACGCATATTTTATTTCATAAAAAAGTTCATAAAAATAATATTGTAACGTTTCTTATTGAAGAATTAAACATACAAGGCAATATTTTAACAAAGACGTTTTTGTTTCTTAATGTTACAATAAAAATGCTTGATTTATTTACAGATATGAGAGCCCCTTGGGCACAGTCCTTGTGTTCTTCATTTGATTATTTACTTACACTGTTCACTTCTTTTACAATATTGCACTATCCGATGCACTGTCCACGGTCCACTGCGCTGACCACAGTTCACGGCGCTGATCACGGTCCTCTGCACTGCTGTTCACTGCAATGCACACTTCACAGCTCAGCTTCCACTTCAGACAGACTGCTTACTCACTGACTGACTCGCGGTCGGCGGCAGCGGCGAATTTATACATCCGTCTCGACCCAACCAGAAGTTGCGCCACACTTCTACGCGACTCGCGAATAACCCGGAAGCGTCGAGTTCGGGGGAGCGCCGGCTGATTGCACTATCCTCGCAGCGAATTCCGGCAAGTGATGCAATATTCGTTACAATATTTACATAATACGTTCTATCGAAACTCGTCCTCAGGAAGGACACTGAATGAAAGGTCAAATGGAGAAGTGATATGAAAAACTCATCGAATAACTTTTTAAATGTTTAAAAATGAACTAAAAAGTACAAATATTTAGAAAGTAATAATTGTTTACTTAAATTCTAAATTACAAACCAACAATTATTTCTATTGCTATGTTTTTGTTATAAAATTCTACTTTGTTAGCAATATATTGTTCTTTAAGGAAATAATACTGTAACTACAGTATGAATATACCCAACAAACGCTTTGAAATGCAATTCAGAGAAACAATGTGTCTTAATATAGAGCGTCTCACGCAGAATTATAATAACAGAAACGACGGTAATGCAGCACGACGATTTTTGAGAACCCTAAAGAATTTCATGAATATACCATGAATATTTGGAAAAGATGTTTCCAAATATTCATGGTATTTCATGCCAACTACACGGTTTGAGCATAAGTTCTTCTGCCCACTTGCCCATTATCAGAAGACGCGCAACGATCACGTCATAAAAGTAGAAGGCGGTGCGGAGAAGGATTCTCGGGAGAACTTTCAAGACTGTACTCAATCCGGGACATGTGGAATTGCATGTTGATCTCTTCTGATCAGTTCTTTTCCGTTGTAAGTAATCCCTACGGTTTTCTAAAATCAATGTTGTGAATTGATAAATTTTAACCGAGTTTATATAGAAAAAATGTATTTACTTTTCACACAAATAAGCAGTGCATTATTCTGGTACTGTGTTCCTAGCTCTCTGACGTTGCAAAGATAACCCAAAATAACTTTGGTCGTCGTAGAAAACATACCGTATCTTTCGGAGGGACCACTGGTTCGTGTGGGCGTGGCCCGCGACGTCGCACGTGTAAGCGGACGCCGTCCATGGAACGCCAGCGGCGGCGATCGCCGTCTACGCGATATCGGCCGAGCGCGTTCGCGACGTCTGTCCCGGTCGGAAGGAGCGTTCAGAATGCTCTCGGCAGTCCCGCAAGGGCGCTTCCAGCACAATGGACAGGGCGCCCGGCACTTTCCCGCCATTAACACTCGCATACACGTGGCTTATGGTCTGAAGGGTTTCAAAACTCCAATTGAATTAGCGCACAACCTTTGACTCAACAACAGAAAGAGGGCATTGCAGGGTACACGCCCTGCACTTTGGGAGGACTCAGTGTCCCGTATTAGTTAGAACCGAGACACAGCGAAATTGCATTTTCCCGGCACTACTATTACCACTGGGCACACTCGCGCGCTTGTGTTCTGGTTAGTTTGAAAACTCGCATTTAAAAAACAAAATTATTGAATTTCATGTCACCGAAAATCGCTCCCACGCTCCCCCACACATACTCATTAATTGTTCGCAAAGAACAACCAAATTAAGCTGCCATCGCTTCTCTCTGCAGCATTCTACTTTAATTTGCATTCTATGCTCTGTTTAGATTGGAACCTTTTCTGTTTAATCTTAACTTAAGGTTAAGCTGGCTGCAATTGGCAGGCATGGTTGGTACTGCCACCGTTGCTTTTGCTATAAGCTAATTTACACGAATGCAGAAATGAACACTTGCGAAGAAATAGACATTTCAATTTCTGGGGCGTCTGTGACAGTAAGGGTGTTGAAGTGTTGGACTACGAGCCCTTTTTGAATTCCGGTAACTCTTCTGACATCTTGGTGACTTCGGCAATTTCTTCTGGCAAATCTAACATTTTGACGAGCTTATCACGTTCTTTTGGCGGCAACAACTTTGCGCGTCTTTGGCTAGCTCTTTGAGTATTCAGTTACTCGCTTGTATATCCTTTGTATTTGTGACGGAGTTGATTTTATCAAATTTACTTTGTACATAAATCTCTGTCAAGATTAATCATTTTCTATCTTCAAACTAACTCTTTCTTCTATTTCCCATGGAAGTGTGAATCTTCGGACAGAGCTTCTAGGGTGATGGTTTTTGAAGCGGATCATTTGAACTCTGATGATCCTTTTCTGAGTCTTCAGATGTATGATGGATGATGTCTAGTGAGAAGGTTATCACCGGTATGGTTATGGATATGCATTATTGGCTGATAGAATTTTGTGTGAATTAACAGAAGTCTTGAGTATGAATTTCAATGTGTCGGTAAACTCAATTATTCAAATTTCTTGTATTTGGTTGTGCATAATCATCTTCTTTCCTTCCCCATCACCATAATCTCCATATATTGGTAAATATCATACATGTCTAAAGTTGTAATGATGTCTCCGAATGCTGTCTCATGCTCTTTCATCAATGAGCTTACCTCTCCGAATACTTTGAACTTTACGTTTGTGTATTCCAAATTGGATCCCTACGTCACTAGCGTATCTGTCAGTATTATATTTTTCAGTCATTGTAATGTGCCCGAATATAATTTGAGATCGTCAGTGTGAGGATGATGCCGGACCATACACTTCACTTGATCTTTTAATTCAAGTCCTGCTATTGAGTTTTCCAATAAGTGTGAGAGTAAGGTTTTGACAGGACAGAACCAGAATGGGCTGACGCTGTCGCCTTGAAATATTCTTCGTTTGATCCTAAGTGTCTTTGTAACTACTGTGTTAGTCCTTCAATCCATATCTATTCTCGTTCGTCAATGGCTCATAGCAGTTTATAAGAAGTTTGTAACTGCAGGGCTAACTCGATATATTCTCAGAATATCAATGAGCCAGTCGTAAGGAACCTTGACGAAATACTTTTTAGTCAATAAAGTAGGTCTACAGGTCACCATTTCTGTTGCATGCCTAGACATTTTCAAATAGTCAATTACAAGCTGTTCTTTGTATCCCAATGAATGCATGGGACATTGGTACATATGAATATTACGATTTATTACATTTGGTGTTCTATCCATTTCGCTCATTGGTTGTAAGTGAAGTTTCGCAGGAACAAGTTCACAGATCACAATTAACCCGTGGGTTATTTCCTGTCCTCCTCGGTTACTGCGACTCACAGTGGCCTCGGGACACCTCCCCGCATTATTATTATTATTATTATTGATTTTATTATCATTATTGTTGTTGTAGTTATTATTATCATCCATTTTTACACAAATATTTGGTATTATACTGCTATCACACAAATTCATCAAAGCATGGTAACTGATTTGTTTCACCTTTACAACATTTTATAGTTAATATAATACAATATAAGATATCAAACTTGAAATTACAATATAATAGCTCAATTTAAAAGCTTCAGATTCCCACATGTCCTCCCATGAACTTCCTGATCAATGAGCATGTGCTGCTGATGACTGAAGAGCGATGATAATACCTTTCTCCATACCTAGGTCGTCTAACGATCTGCTAAGAAGTTTTGTTACGACTCTAGCTGCTGATAGGACAATTGGAACAGTTTAACGTCTACACAATGAAACTGTTCTCTCACTGCATATGCTCTCTCGGTGTTTAAGGATTTTTGCTTGATGATGTCATGTTGATAGCTCGATAAACCAAAATTTCCTGGAAGGTTTATCCCAGAGCGTAAGATCGAGTCTATTGTGTTGGATTGTTCTGTCAATAGTGCGGTACCAGTAC